CTTGAACCCTTGACCTCCCTTTGGGATGTAAGGGCCTGATACCGCTAGGCCACTGACCCGTTGGTATTTTTTACTAGTACTTTGCTTTGCTTTGAATCTTAGCTTTAGGATCGAAGAGTAACTTCAATAATAAATATTTAAAGAACCAGTAACTAATTGTAAAGATAGCAATAGAATATGAAGCTGAGAAATTTGAGATATGTGTAAATGTGATATTTTGTAGGATAATGCTGAGGATATTTTGTAGAATAATTCTAGAGATTTATTTTTTATTTTAACGTATGTTTATTACTTATTTATATATATATTAGATTAACATATGAAATCTGAATAGCATCCCAGACTTCAAAATCAGTTTTTAACTGTTGTGTTGGTTTACTGTTCTTGACCGGAAATGTCGACACCCATATATAAGCTCAACCTTCAACTTTCTGCTGCTCTTGGCCACTCAAAATGAATGCCAAGCAGGCATGGATATCTGTAACACTTACTTTAAATCCTCTCTTCTTTGTCTTGCCTTTTTTTTTGCTGGTGTTGGAAGTTTGATTTTGTAGTGGTAGATGAAACTTTTGCAGATATATAGGCCTTTTTCTAAATCTAGTGATAGGATTGTCAGCATCTTTGAAATGTTAATTTCAGTAGTAGAGATAAATTCGAATTGATAAATCATTAATGTGTTCACTGACTATTAATGAGTTTAGAATAATAAAGTGTGTCTAATTATTGTTGTTGATCTAAATATAGTTGCTGATCCCACCAAGCTTTAGGCCAACCTGTGCCCGTTGACAGTCCCAGCTTAAGACAAGAACTTTTCAATTCCATGAGTGCAGAATGAGCTGAAATGATGGCAGCTTTCAGATTACTAAATAGTGCATGGAAAGATAATGTTATAATATATATATATATATATATATATTCTGTAAATTTCAAGCACAAGGAACCAAATTGTTCAGGACCTGTATTTTTTTTCTTTTTCTTTTTCAGATCTTCCATTTTTTGGGTGAAGCAGTTGTTTTCTAGTGGGTAAAAATCATAAACAATATGTATATATATATATATATATATATTGTGTTGTTTGTAGTGAATGATTCTGCAACTAGATTTGGTTTCAACTTTCTTGAGAAGTCTACACTGTAATACTTGTTGTTTTTCTGGTTCTATTGTTTCATAGACAATTGCTAGAATATAAACTGTTTTGGACAAATATATAACACTTACAAGAACTGGGTGAAATATTTTTGGCCTTTGAAGTCTATTAAGGGATTTTTGGCTGCACAAAATAGATTTTAGTTTGGAATTATAATTATGTGAAATTTGAATTTAATGGGTCCAACTTACTTCATCATCATATTTTTTCTTTCTTACTTTATTTATTTTTTTTTTATTTATTTTTTCTTGACAACTTGTACTCTTTTCTATATAAGATAGTTGGACTAATGATTGTTTTAGTTTTATAGTAGAATTTTCCTTTTAGTCTATTTGGTAATTTTCTCTTTGACTCCAATTTGAATTTAATAGATTTTAGTTTGAAATTATAATTATGCGAAATTCAAATTTAATTAGCTAGCATTCATATATTATATGTACTATTATGTGTGAAGTGTGAACCCCTTTACTTTTCCATCTTTCATTAATGAAGGTGACATTATATAATAAGTTGCTGATCATTTTTTTTTAAAAGAAGAAATGTATTTCTCTTGTAATTATTATGTTAGAATTTCCGTATGGTTGAAGGTTGTCGGTGCTTGTGAATCTCAATTGTTAACAATTATTAGGGAAAGATTATATATATTTTTTGTAGGGTTCAATTATATACAAGAAGGCTCTCATGCGGTCCAAAATAATGGACTTTTCAACAGACCAAAAGTCAATTAGGAAAATTACACTTTATTACTTTATCAGACCTAACCATAACTAATTTACCATAATTATATTTGTGACATAAAATTTGAGGGAAAATGTTATGCGTGAAAAAGTAAATGGGAATGAAATTGAGCAAATTGCCAAAATTTGGAGATTTTTCTTATTTCAGTTTCAGTATTGAGCTATCGAGTTCCAAAAAATCCAAATTTAGAGACCTTTTATTGTTTCCATGGCACAATTAAGCAATATATGCTTTCTGTTTGAGACTCCATTATTAGAGGTTGTGCTTATTCACAAACCCTAAAAAATTGGTATCTTTTGAACCAAAAAAAAAAAAAAAAAAAACTAATTCATGAAGTGTGGAATAATGGGTCGATGAAAAAAATAATAAATAAAATATAAATAAGAGACCAACAGTCAAGCCATCAAGGTAAAAAAAAAAAATAAAGAGAGCAAAAAAATAAATAAATCAAAGTGCAAAAAGAAGATAGAGAAAGAGATAATGATCTGGATCCGATTTTAGAGAATGAATATGGTAGTTGTGTTGTGGCTGTAGTAGTGAAGATGGTGGCTGTGATGTTGTGGTTATGGCGGTAGTGGTTGAGATTGCAAGGATGATGGAAGAGATTAAGGAGAGAGAGATTGAATAAATGTATTGGCTAATTATAGTAAATTAACTATGGTCAGGTTTGATAAAGTAATAAAGTGTAATTTTTCTAATTGACTTTTGGTGCGTTGAAAAGTCCGTTCTTTTAGACTGCGTGAGAGCCTACCTGCAATTATATATATTTAGTTTTTTGTTTATATTTGATATACATTTTTCTTCTTCTTTTTATGTGTGTGTGTGTGTGTGTGTTTGGGCAGTTACATGGATAAGTCTTGGATTCATTATCACGCTAGGGGTAGTGTAAAGTATTTTGACGGCATACACGACTTCATTGATGTGGCTAGCCGTCATGCAGAAGTAGACGGTAGGTCCCAATGTCCATGTCGTCATTGCAAAAATACAACTTATCGTCAAATTGAAGAAGTTAAGCAGCATCTCTTGAGTAATGGGATGGACAAGGGGTATACCAATTGGATATATCATGGGGAGGCCTGTCAAAGCAACAATAATGTTAATATTGATGCTAATGTCAGTAGGGAAAATGTCCACGATGAAGATGGAAATGTAGATAATGTGTTTGAATTGTTGGATAACATACAAATAGGAAACTTCACCAATATACAACAACAAGAAGATTCGCCTAAAGTTGATGTTGGAGGAGGAAGCTTTGATAGATTGTAAAATGATGCACAATGTGAATTGTGGCTAGGTTGTAAAAAATACTCTAAGTTGTCAGCAATATTAAAGTTATTCCATGTGAAGGTTACAAGCCGAATGAGCAATAAAGCATTTGACATGATGCTTGATGCATTTAAGGATATGCTTCCCAACAACAATGTGTTACCAAAGTCTCATTACGAGACTAAAAGCTTGTTGCGAGACTTGGGACTTGGATATGATTGTATACATGCATGTAAACATGATTGTGTTCTATTTTGGAAGGAGAATGCAGGTAAAGAAAATTATCCAAAGTGTGGTGTATCGAGGTATAAACCTCATGAAGGTAAGGGTAAGAAAATCCCTTAAAATGCTCTCCAGCACTTCCCTTTGAAATCAAGACTTCAACAATTATTTATGTCAAAAGACACGGCCTTCGACATGTGGTGGCATAAAGAGAAACGTGTGAATGAGACAAATGAGTTAAGACATCCAGCTAATTCAAAAGCTTGGGAGGATTTTGATAGTAAGCGTAGTTGGTTTGCTGCTAATCCTCGTAATGTTCGTGTTGGATTAGCAACTGATGGATTCAATCCATTTGGTAACATGAGCAATGCATATAGTATGTGGCCAGTGATGATTGTGCTTTACAATTTGCCACCTTGGATATGTATGAAAGAGCCATATACATTTATGTTGCTTATTCCTGGTCTAACATCGCCTGGTAATGATATTGATGTGTACCTGCAGCCTTTGATTGAAGATTTAAAAGAATTGTCGTGGGATGGTGTGATGACGTATGATGCCTATAGTAAATGTAACTTTAAAATGCATGCGACAATGATTTGGACCATTAGTGATTTTCCCGCCTATGCAATGGTATCTATATGGATGACAAAGGGTTATCTAGCATGTCTAAATTGTAACGAAGAAACATGTTCTTGTTATTTGGGACACGGACATAAGATATGTTATTTGGGAAGTCGTATGTTTTTATCGTTAGATCACATTTTCAGAAAACGTCACAAGCAATTTAATGGCAAGAGTGAAGACAAAGGTCCACCAAGGCAGTTGATGGGTGATGATATTCTGGAACTTAACCTCATACCCCAGGTTAGTTTCAGAAAAAGACCAAATAAAAAGAAGCAAACTCATGAGGAATTTGAACTTAACTGAACGAAGAAGAGTATTTTCTTTGAAATACCTTATTGGCAGACCCTTTTGTTGTGGCACAACCTGGATGTTATGCATATAGAGAAAAATATATGCGATAGTGTGTTGGGGACATTATTGGACATTGAAGTGAAAACTAAAGACACATTCAAAAGTCGGTTGGATTTAGAAGCAATGGGGATTAGAAAAAAACTCCACCTGAGGCGTAATGGTGAAAAATTTGAGATGCCACAAGTGTGTTACACATTGTCAAAGAATGATAAAAGGCAACTATGTGAATGGTTAAAATCGGTTAAGTTTCCAAATGGCTATGCATCGAACATAAATCGGTGTGTGAACGTTAATAATTGTAAGATATCTGGATTGAAAAGTCATGATTCACACGTTCTTTTACAACGTCTCCTCCCTATTTCTATACGAGGATTCTTAAATTCAGATATTTGTAACACAATAGCTGAGCTTGGTTTATTCTTCAAGGAATTGTGTTGTCGAACTGTTAAAATGGTTGTCTTAGAGGCAATGGAAAGGGACATTGCTGTTATACTAAGTAAGTTAGAGATGATATTTCCTCCGTCATTTTTTGACATTATGGTGCACTTAGCTCTGCATTTGCCTCGTGAAGCCATCATCGCAGGCCTGCATAATATCGATGGATGTACCCGATTGAAAGGTGCTGTATATTTTTAGTAAACCAACATTATTCTCTTCTTCTTCTTCTTCTCCTTTTTTTTTTTTTTTTTTTTGACAAGTTCTATTGGTTTGTTAGACTTAAATATTTGTAATTATATTAACGGTTATGTAGATTTTTGCATACTCTCAAATTGTACGTCCGTAACAAAACACATCCTGGAGGGTCCATTGCGGAAGCTTACGTGGACGATGAATGCCTCACATTTTGTTCAAAATTTCTTGGAGGGATTGAGACACGATTCAATAGAGAAGAAATAAATAGTGAGGGGAACTATAACAATAATTGGTCCACTTTTTCTGATCTAAAGCAAATGGTTCGACCGATAAGGGCACAAAGTTTGGATATATTGCCCCGTGCAGACATAGAGATGGCCCGATCGTACATGTTACAGAATTGTGAAGATGTTTTTGTCATATGAAGAGTAAGTAGCTCATTGCATGTCATAGCTTGTCAGTTTCTATAAATATATACTCTATTTCTTAATACATATACACAATTGTATCTTTAACATCATGTAATTGTTTAGAAAACACAAGGTAGAACATGAGAGAGAAAATCCGCGCAATGTTCCTCAAAGACATGCTAAAGAATATTCGAGCTGGTTCAAAACAAAAGTCAGTCCATTATGCACCTATTGTACACTATACTTTTTTTAATAGATAAAGGAAATGTGTCATCATCAAAAGGAAACAACTTGTGATGATTTGTATTCATTAGCGTGTGGACCTCAATGTCTAATAAGTCGATATTATGTGTGTATTGTAAATGGGATTAGGTTCCATACTAAGGAAAGGGAGCAAACTCTACTGTCCAGTTCCAGTAGAGTTTGGAGAGGGTTATATTAAACCTATCGGTTTAAATAACAAATTATGGATGACTCAGGTTGGCATTAATACACGAGATACCAAAGCCCTTCTAAAGTATAAAACGCAGAGGGATGTTCCAGATTTTGAGAAAGAGGTCTGCTATGACCATTTGAAGGTAATGATAGCCATCATTTAATGTTTGTTTTGTTTAAGAATAAATCAGAGGTTACTGGTGCAATTGGTTACAAATTGTAGCTTACATTAATTTTACATTATAAAGGAGATGTTTGGAGTGGATGCATATCCAAATGACACTGATTTAAGCGAGTAAATAAGGGAATTTCTGGCACATTGAGGAAATATAGATATAAATTGAAGAGTCATTTCAAGGAGCATCTTCTCATTGAGAATGCACGCCGCCATCCTTACAATGGTATTGGTCATGCTGTTTGGCAAAAGTTGTGTGATAAGTGGATGTCACCAGAATTTCAGGTTCAAGTTCTTAACTACTTGCTTTTGTCTATTTACTTGAAATTATTTAATATAATAACTTCATTCACTAGCTACTTGGGCTTCCTAACTTGTAATATTGTTAGAATTACTTCCTAGGAAATAAGTGAAAAAAACAAAGAAAATTATTCCAAGAATGAGGTTCCACATTATTCTGGATCGATGTCCTTCATCAGATGTTAAGATGCTTATGTACGTAATATATGAAACAATAATTAGAAATTTTTTATTTTATATTCTACGTTCTAATCTATATATTTGTCTAATGGTCACTATTACTGTGTACTATAGGTCAAACTCAAAGAAAGACAGAGCCAAGAAGATGAGGATGGTGAAAGGGATGAGGATTTTGCTATTCGCTTGTACAAGGACACACATTTTAAGGAACAATGTGGATGGGCACATGAGAAAGCTAAGAGGAATTTTTTAAGTTAACTATAAGTTAGCATGTTGGATTATGAAATTTGGATCTCAAAATATTTTTGCGGTTTATAGGGGGTCACATGCCTTTAAGTGACCATTCTTGATTTTTTGTGCACAAATGGAGGTGGGGAATTGTTGCGGATGAAGTGTGTGGTTTTCATTCATTGCATTTCACGTTTAAAGAATATATATATATATATATATATATATATATATATATATATATATATATATATATTATGTTACCTCTTCAATTGAGTGGAGAAAAAGAAGAGAAAACAGTAGATGGAAGGAAAAAAAAAATATACAACTCCTTCCCCCCCCCCCCCCCCCCCCAAAAAAAAAGGAAGAAAGAAATAGTTTAGCTAATTGAAATTTTCCTGCTTTAACCAGTTATTTTGATCTATATACATGAACTCTTGTTTTGTGCACAATAGGATATGGTAATGCACACAAGTTATTTGTATGTGACTATGTGCCACTGTTTAACACAAATGGTATCAAGTTGGTCAAATGTAAATCCTGATTCAAAAGACTCAGATTTCAATATTTTCAATTTTAAGACTTTTTAATTATTGTTTTCTAGTTTTTGACATATATCTTTTCTTTCAGTATTACTATATGCCCATATATATTCTGCTATAGGTTGTGCACTGCTCCCCTCAAAAAAAATGAGATACATAAAAATAAAATAAAATAAAATAATGTATCCCCTGTCATATGTTCCCGTGATTTGTTTTTCCTTTCCATCTTTGTTTCATTTTGTTCAGTTAGAAAGCTTCTGCTTTGGAATCTCTTGAATTTTATATGCTTTTTTTAAGTAATGTGATTTTAAGTGCTTTGAATTCTTTACCATCCCAGATATGAATAATGTTTTTGGAGGAATTCTAAAGAATACAACATTGTTTAATTGATGGAGATGAATAATACATATCTAATTTAATTATTAATTAGACTAGTATTGTATCCATCAATTGACATCAAAGAAAATGACAAACGAAGTCGAAATTGATGCCAGATTAGGACTTGGTTCATATCATACTGGCTTGGATTTCAAATGAATTAGAGTAAAAGATTGGTTCATGAATGGATATAAAATGCTTAATTAGAATTAGAATTCCAAATAAAGCAATAGTGAAGAGCTCACCCACCATATAGTAACAAACACGTAATGTATTTTCAAATACTTGTCATTTGGATCGATGATGATGCCACTAAAATCAAAATCAACACCTACCACCACCCAAAATTGAATAAAAAAAACTTTGGTGAGAGAAGAGAATCAGGGGACCATAAATCAAGTTCTTCCATATGATCCAAAACTTTAAAATGATTTTTATGCCATACCGAGAATATGGAAATATGCTCATAGGTTTTTGTCAGTTGCCACAACTTTCTTGCCACAACTATAGATATAACCAATTTGGACAAATAAAATTACCTAGGACTCTGATCAAATTGCCAAAATCAACTAGAATTTGCCCAAGATTGTATAGCCACTAATTACAATTTTACTAGCAAAGAAAGCTGATTCACTAAGGCTAAGGTGTGCATGAACGAATATTGTTTTGCAAAAGACTCCTTTTGGGATTTAGGATTAAGAAAATTGGATTTAGAGTGATTTTGGATCCGTCAGAACACTTTTTGAAAAGAAACATTATGAAATTCAATACCGTGACAGTGAGTACCGGTGAACAAGATCGCCGCGGCGATGGAATCTGGGACGGAGGAAAGGGGTAGGAGTGCATCTAAAATACTTTTAAAATTGGAAAACTTGATTTTATGCCTCAATTGTTATATTTATTGTGATGCAATTGGAGGCTATAAAAAAGGAAAGAACAGAAAAAAAAAAAAAAAAAAAAAAAGGTCTATTGAAAAGGATATTTTTGTTTTTAGTTTCTACTATCAAATCTTGAATATGTGTAAAGTATTCAAAATGTTCCCTTAAAATAGATTGCTTTCAGGTAAAAAGTGTTTACTATGAATATTAGTTGTCATTTGTCATTTGTCATTGCAGTGTGTCCAAACTCATCCTACCATTTTGAAAATAAGCATTTCAATAAACTTTTTTTTTTTTTTTTTTCTCTCTATTGAAATTAATATATTAGCTTGCACATGATTTGTTCCTATGTCATATTCTTTCAATTTGATAGCGAACTTAAATATTTTGTAGGATGCAATGAAAGAAAAGGTTATATAAAATTCTCAAAATTCTAATGGTACATGTCATGACCCGGAAATTTTCCTTCCTTTCATTTTTTCTGAAATTTTACGAATGAATTTTTTTCGTTTAATTTCCTTTTCTGAGTTCAGTTTCTCATCACTTAGTGTCATCTCGAGTACTCATGAATGATTTCTAAGACTCTTCTCCATAGATTGACAACTTCCTTTGAGGACCGAGTCATTTCCACATTTTTCATTTTTCGACACTATGCACTATTTCGTCCTTTTCCCTATTCTGTCTTTTCCCCGTTTGTCAGTTTTTGGCATAACCTCACTTTTCATGCTCGGAGTTAGTTTTTGACTTCACGTGCCTTCATTTTGAGTGGTTTCCATGAAATACGTATCATTACTTTTGTAAGAAAGTACTCTGGTTGCTCCCGGTGTCCATAGGGGCATAGATGCACAACTTTTTAGAATCTTTTTCTTTTCTTGGGGTGTTTTTCATAAATATCTTTTGAAGATATTTTATTTTAGGGGTATCTAAGAAAATATCTTTCGAAAGATATTTTCATTCTGGGGCAGTTTTGTAATTAACCCTTTTTGTAGGGGCCACTGTGCAATTAACGAAAGTTATTACAAAATACCTCATCTGGAGCCTGGATCCTCGTACGGGATTCATTTTCACATTTTGTCAAGTCATGTACTCTTAGGATTTCCTTCTGGTCGTTTTTCTCCAGTTTCGGGATTTCCGACCTCGGTTAGCGCCGAACTTGTTCGGGCCATATCTCTCTGCTCGGGACTCAGTTTTCATTGTTGTTTCTTTCGTTGTTCATATTTTTTTATTTTGAATCTTTTTTGTTCACGGAGTTTTGCTATTTGAGCGCGTCTACTCAAAATCCACTTTTCCTGTCCCGGCGGAGCCCTTTCGGGGCACTTTTTGAGATTTTCTATAAATAGGAGGCTTAAAGAGAAAAAGTCAGATTTCTCTCTCTCTCTCTCCTCTCTTCTGGCCAGAAACCATGGCAGCCATGGCTGCCATCTTCTCTCTCTTCTTTTGGTCCACTTTTCTTTGATGAAAAGTCTTCGGTCTTAACGTTTAATGCTTGTCTTGACGACGCGCACCTTACGCCCTTATTAGAACCCATTTCTGACCATTTCTTGAGTTCGGGTTTGAAGTCAAGTTGTGAATTTCATGGGGATTCTTGCGGATTCTTGTTCCCGGTGTAGTCCCCGACAAAACCTCTCGGTATCGCCGGATTCAGAGCCGTTTCGTTTTGATGGCTTTTGAGATTTTCATCTCAAATCGAGGTAGGGGGTGTTATAGGTTTAATTCTTGTTATATTGCATGCTATTGATGCATATCCAACTTGATTACATGCTTAAATATGAAATCTAGAGATTTTAGCATTTATTTTTCTTATATTGGATTTGATTTTCCCGATTGCTCATAGCTTGTTTTGAACATGTAGTATGGTATTATATTACTCCATAATATGGTCATTGACATATATTAAATTGAGTATATTTGAATAAGTATTAAAGATTTTATTTAATATTTATCTTTAGTGAAAGATTAATTCACATGGCCTTACCTAGCTTGAAATCAATGTGTATTAGCATATTACCTTAGGCTTTAATTCACTCTTTAACATAGGTAAATTTAAGAGTAATCGGAGATGTTTTCAAATATAGTAATATTTAATTAATTTGATTAATTAATTAATTCCGAGTGTACCATTCACTCCATTGGAATTCTGACTTGATATTCATGATGTGCATGCTATGTGGTTTCACATATATTTGATCTAGAATATTTGATTAAGTTTTAAAATCTATCATTTATTATTTTTCTAGTATTAAAGTTTAATACTCATGGTCGTATCTTGCAAGTAATTCACTTGTATCGTGTTTTTAAAACAAGTCTTGACATGTTGTATAACATACAATAAATTGAGGTCACTTGGATGACTTTTAAAATCTAGAGATTTTAATTAAATGAATTAATTAAAATCTAATCAATGGTTCCATGAACTAGATTAAGTTTCTAACCTTGTATTCATGTTTTCCTTGACAAGTTCCTTTACGTGTATCAAATCGAGAATAATCGGATAAGTTTTGAAACTTATATTTAATTAATTCATTTGTATGGAACTTAATTCACATGGTTGCATCTTATATGTAATGGACTCGTAACTTGACATTGGACTTAGCCTTGACATGATCCTTGACATGATTTGTTTGTAGAACATTTGAACTTGCCTTGTAATCTTGATAATTTAATCCTTAAGTAGATTAAATTTCCTTATATGCTTCCATCGAGTTAATCATGCCTTGATATGAATTCTTGTTAAACTTGTGAACTTGACTTGAATTTCATAAACTATTATCTTTTTATCAAGCATCGTGATTCCTTGTATCTAGGTTTCATTAATGTACTTAATGAACATACACAATTGTCTTGAAATGGTTTAATTACACATGTGTTGCTTAGAAGGTAATTGAATCATGTATCTTATACTTGTGGTATATTTACTTCAATGAACTCCATGTGCTATATATCTTGGTTGCTGTCTATATAATTGCACACTATGAATTCTTGACATTTCACATGCCATTATAGTTGATGAACTTAGGGCATGACTTGTATGTTCCAAAATCTTATTTGTGCATGAAACGTGGTTAATGCATTTCTTGTATTTGATACAATCTTAACTTACACATCTTGTTGATTTTGGGACTTGGGATATCAATCAAGAATTGTCATGGCTAGGACTTGGTTCTAGTATGGGAGACTGTCCTCCTACACTATAATGCGCACTAGGGGAAAGGTACCCATGGGTTAGTAGCCCTAAAGTGATCTCAAGAGTACGGTTTTAATCCGGGCAATATCCGAGTTTCTACATTGGTTGATTTCACTCTTTAAATTTCAAGTTGCTATTCCTTGAAGATTTAAACTTGTCGTGTTATGTGAAATGCTCCAATCTTGTTTCATTGCATAGATATTATGCCTCATTCGTGATTTCAAGTATACTTCTTGTCATGTTAATTGGTATAGTCCAATCATATTAATTGCATTTATAATGTAATTTTTATTAATTTATATCCAAGTATACTTATTATCGTGTTATATGGAATATTCCATCCTTGTTTACTTGCATACATATTAT